AGTGTGTGTGTGGTGTGTGTGTGTGTGGTGTGTGTGTGTGGTGTGTGTGTGTAGTGTGTGTGTGGTGTGTGTGTGTAGTGTGTGTGTGTGTGTGTGTAGGCTTCCCCACACCAATAAGCAATTCTCAGACGCCAACAGGGTGTCAGAGAATTCAACTCAATTCTGACACCGTCTACCCAGAGATAGCACCAGCTTCCACAGGTTAAGGGATCAGTCCTACAAGACCGCTCTCCCTTTCAGAAGCCAATTGCAAGCCCAGGTTGTTACCTGGGCCTCTGACCCACTGGATATAGATCAGAGGTTCCCATGACCCCTTCCTTGGATTCGATTATTGCTAGAGAAGCTGATAGAACTCAGGAAAACTTGTTTACTCACTAGATTATCAATTTATTACAAAAGATATTAAAGGATCCCAATCAACAGCCAGATAAAGAGATACATAGGGTGAGGTCCTGAACAAAGGAGCTTCTGCCCTAGTGGAGTCTGGGGCTCTGCACGGTGGAACATGAAGTGTTCTGGTTCCCCAACCTGGAAGCTCTCCGATCCCCCTCCTCTTTGGGTTTTTATGGAGGCTTCATTACATAGACATGATTGATTAACTCATTGGCCATTGGTGATTGATTCAACCTCTAACCGTCCTCCCTTCCCCAGAAATCAAGAGGTAGGACTGAAATTTCCACCCCTCCATTCAAGGTTGGTTCTCCTGGCAACAGCCCCCATCCTTACGTGATTTCCAACAGTCACCTCGTTAACATAAATCCAGTAGCCTGCAATGGGGCTTGTTAAGAATAACAAGACACCCATTCCACCTTTATGGCTCCAAAGTGAGATAAGAGACCAAATATTATAACAAAAAGATGCTCCCACTGCTCTTATCACTCAGGAATTCCAAGGGTTTTGGGACCTGAGAGTCAGGAACTGTGGATGAAGACTATATATATATGACAAATATATTTTGGTCATCTGAATGACCAAATATATGTATTTATTATAAATCACAATATTGCACCCATGTAGCCTCCAACCTATCTGTGCATCCATCCATCCACCCAGCCCTCCGATTCTGCAGGAGTTTCTACAAGAGCAGCACTGGAAACACTAGAGTTCAGACGTCAAAGGGCACAGACTGGGGCGCCAGAGTGCCGCGGAATCCTAGTTCTGCCACTTCTGCATCTGCGACTTTGGCAGGTTATTTCCTCTCTGTGCTTCCGCTTCCTCGTGCTTAATGTGGAACACCGTTCAGTCTGGAATTTGAATTCTCCCTCCTCAGAAGCGAGGTTAGCCTGTTCTGTTTCATGGATTCTGGCAGAAGACACAAGACTGAGCCAGAAACAAAGGACTTTAGTCCTCATGGCACAGCGGGCAGCATGAGCATTGACATATGGGATGGTACCCCTGGCGCCCAAGTCCCATGGTGGGGGTGACACAGGCCCGAGTGGATGCTGTATGTGCAGTAGGTCTGCGTTGCAGCTGACGAACACTGAGGATCCTCTTCTTTCTTAGCAGGCAATAAGTAAGCTTGTTCTTTATCCCGGAGGGACACATTACCCCTTCCTCAAGGTTACTAGCTGCAACAACCCCAGAAATGGCCTGGGGAAAGAGCAGCCAGGACTTTGCTCACGTGGCATACTCAGTGAGAAGCTTAGGAGCCAAAAAGCCCCCAGGAGGGGTGCGGCCCAAGCACCCGCCTCAGGGCCGCAGGGAAGACAGAATGGAACAATGTCATAAACCAATGTTACTGCAATAAACAAACAAGGAAAAAAAAAAAAAAGACAGAATGGAGATATGTGAAGGGCTCCCACAGTGCTCGGGAAGTGCCTGCTACTATGACAAAGGGTGGCAATATGGACGAAGGAAGGGTGGAAACTGTGTCACTTTACATAAAAAAGAAAGTATTAACAAATACTTATTGACTGCTTACTGTGTGCCAGGCATTGGAGACACAGCAGTGAACAGGACAGAGCTGCTGACCTCCAGGTGCTTATACTCTAGTACAGGAGACAGACCACAAACTGGGAGGGGAGCACATTACCTAGGGCCTCACAGACAGGGACAGGACTTGGAACCGACCAGGGGATGTTTTGGACACAAACACATCATGATCCAATTTACATTCCAACAGGCAGCTGTAGAGAACAGACTCGGGTGGTGGGGTGCTGCTGGGGAAAAGATGGAGGTGGGGGGACCACTTAAGGAGACGAGGCCAGCCAGGCTAGCTTCTCCTGGGGGTGGTGGTGGAGGAACTCACGCCCCTGGCCTGTCACAGTCCGACATGCAAGTGGAAGGGTCTTGGGAATACTTGGCAGTGCTATGCTATGGAGGCCAGTGCACCGGGAAGTGTCCATCTGCTGTCGTCATGGGGGGTTGCTTCAGGGTCCTGGAGGGAAAAGCAGAAGGCAGCAGGGTGAAGAGCAAGTAACTGGAGTCAGCAGGCAGGAATTTATTCCAGAAGTTCGTCATGAAGGAGAGGACTTGGGGTCTTGCAAAATTATTTTTTTAATGTGTTAAAAGATTGAAGCATGTTTAGATGCCATAGGGACTAGCAGAGAGGAAAAGGTTAACCACACAGGAGGGGACAACGAAGCAAGGTCCCTGAGAAGGTGGGAAGGGACGAGATGCAGACCAAAGACAGGGGTCAGCTTGTGACATGAGGAACGCCTCTTCCAGTAGAATAGGACAGAAAGGGAAAGAATGGTGTGAACTCAGGTAGCAGTAGAGATTTGGTAGCAAAAAATTCATTCAGGGAGATCCCGTGTGACGGCCTCCTTCTTCTCCAAAAAACTGGAAGCAAGATGACCCGAGGAGCGAAGTTAAGGGAGTTGGAGATTTATGGGGAATTTCGGAGATTTGGGAATTACCGGCAGAGAAACCAACGCAGGAGGGATGGCTGAGAAGCACAAGTAAGAAAGAAAAGGGCCAGGCAGGAGCCTTTGAGGAACATTCCCTACAGGAGCCTTGGGGGTGGCCGAGCCAGGGGAAAGGAGTGATGGAGGCAGCGAGACGATGGGGCCAAACGCTTCAGGAAGGTCAAGTGAGTGGTCTGGGCCGGGGGCTGGGGGGTGAGGAGAGGCAGTTTCCGAGGCACAGGCAGGGTAGGAGCTAGGAGTCTGGAGATGATGAAAGGTGAAATGAAGCTGAAAGGAGATTTCAGAAGCAGGAGCACAAAGGAGATTTCAGAAGCAGGAGCACAAAAGACAGCTTCTGCAAAGACTGGAGATCATGAGCTGGAGGAGCCACAGACAGCAGCTTGCCCAGAGCCAGCCTTTGGCCTCACTTACCTCTCGCTTACCATGGTTCAGAGTGCCTTACGTTTAGGACGTGTTGCGGTTTGCCTTCTTTCTTCCCATCTTAAGAAGTCAAATCCAAATTTTGCGCCTCAGGAGGCGGCACTGGGGATGGGGGATCAACACACACAGGCCAAAGAATGGTGTTTCTCTCTTTTATTTAAAAACAGTGCTTCATTACCATTTGCAAAGGCAGAGGCAGACCTCCTCCTTCGCTTAGAGTTTATAAAAGCCAGCAACATGATCAATAATTTATACACATGGATAGTAATACAAAAAAATAAGGAACAAAAGCTAAAGATCTAACTACTCCGACCTTCACAATTCCAGCTACTTGATAATAATAGGAGTAACCCAATGAATACTGTATGGTCTGAAAGCTACTATACAATATGATTCTTAACGAGAAGGGGAGGGAAGTAGAGACTGTCACAAAGCCCTGGGGTGCTTCTCTGGAGTTCGCAGGGAAACAGGACCCTGGGCAAGCAGCTCGGGTGTCCTAGGAAGTGATTCTGGGGAGGAGGCGGGGAGGAGAAAAGGCGAGGTGGTCAATTATACAAGCATCCCATGTGATGCCCCCATGCCCCAAAGGTACCTGTTTGCCACGGCAATGGGCGGGGCCGGAGAAACTGCATGTTGCATGTAGGGATGGTTCAGTCCCGGCCATGGGGAGTGGGGAGCAGAGGAGAGGTTCTGTGGCATTTTTAGCCTTGCAAAGATCTGGACTGAAAAGTTCAGAGACTCAGGTAGGTCAGCCTGTCAGGGACAAGTCAACCCCACTGGCTCTCAGCCCTCTGCAGCCCTAGCTTACGTGTGTCAGCCCCAGGTTTGCTCCAGCTATTCACAAGCAGAATTATAACACAAGAAAAAAACAATTCATACCCCGTAGGGAAAAAAGGGGGATCAATTCATCACTCGATATATAATACAGCCAAAATGAGCTGCCAAAACGAGCACACACACACCAAAATACTGTGAACAGAAAAAGAGAGGAGAACGACTAAGCTGGGAGGCTTGAAGGGGTGCAGACACTGCTTACAGCACTCAGCAGTCCCTGGAAAAACCAAACCAAAAAACAATTCAAAAACTCACGTACCCCCTGGGAATCTGGTGTTGGTAACAGGGGCCGGGGGTGGAGAGAAAAGAGAATCCACGATCCCTTTTTGCTTGCCAATGGGAGCTGAGCCCTCACAACACCGGCACATATGTGATGACCAGACCGAGGGGCCGAGTCCCTCGCTGGCAGTCTCCTTAAAGGCAAGGTTTGAGTTTGGCTGACGAGCAGTTCTCTCAGTTACCAATCCCTGCCAACCAGCACTACCATGGCTGAATTGATCTACCGTTTTCCTGAGTAAACTGTAACTGGCTACAGTTCCGGTAACATGGATAAGAACTCAGCTGCTACAGCCAACTGCAATATTTGAGGAATCCCCTCCACCCTCGGCTCCTCATTCCTAGTGCATCTGATTGAGGAATTTGATAGTCACTGGAATCTGGTCTGTAAGCCTTATTTTAAAGACAGGTGCCAGGGACTCAGCTGCACTCCCTAACCCAGAAGGCGCACGCTGGCTTAGGACACCTGAGCCAGCCTGGGAAGGGCTCTAGCTCTTGGATGGCTATGGCCTGCCCCATCAGTAAAGCAAGTATGAAGGAAGTACAGAGAAGGGAAAGGGAGGGAAGAGGCTTCTGGACAGTAACATTTCCAAAAAAATAGTGTTTTATGCAAGAGAGAATCAAGTTTCACTGGTGTACACTACACATGGTCAAACAGTTTCAAGAGCATGACAAAATAAAAACACACAAATTTACGTCTGATGTTCACCTTGCCCACTATTTTTTTCCTATCTTAAAACAGTGCAAACAGGTGACTTATGTTTTTAAAACACCACTACCCCTTCCCCACCCCCCAAAGTCCTTTTCTTCCTATTATCTGGGGGAATAAAAACCTGCAATTCTGCAAATGTTACTGTGCTAGAGGGTTGCAAGCAGCAGAGAAGCGGCTGGACTGGGCGAAAGGGGAGGGTTCAATCAGCTCCCCTTTCCCTCCTTTCACGTCCCAGCCTTCCAGACTGTCCCTCGCTCGTGCTCCCCTGGAGAGGGAAGCGGGCCAGCAAGCCCTTCGTGCAGACCCTCGGGGTTGCTTCCACCCCGAGTTTACACCGCCCTCGTGTGGCAGCTCCGTGACCAGTTAGAGGGTGATGGGGATTCACCGACTTGTCTGCTGTCTCTAGGAAAGTGTAATCTAAATGAGAGCAGGTCACCCCTGAGGAGTCACTGTGAGGAAAAGCCGCTGTCTTTCATTTCTATTGAGTAGCTCTCCCCTAGCCCCCCTTAAACTGAGAGTTGAGCCCCAGTCCCCTTCTTTTTCAAGGAAAAATAAAATTGGCTCAATTCTGACTGTGGCTGTTGGAGGATGATGGTGATAGTAGGTTTTGTAAAACCTGAGAGCCTTAAAAATGATGAATCACAATGGCTGATCTGGGTTAATGGAAGGTGAACTACATAACATAAGGAATTCTGGAAAAGACCTAAGGGCAGCTTTCTGGGCTGAAGGAGAGATATTCAGATAAAGGTTTTCACTACAGGTCTCCTTAAAAGAGCCCAGCGTCTAAGAGTAAGACGCTTGCTACAGAAAGTCCATGTCGTGAGATAGTGTAAAGCTGTTGAAATCATTCACGTACTGTGATTCAGCATTAATAAGTTTTTTGGATTTATCAACCAGCATCCTCTAACGAACTCACAAGGCGCCAAACTCTCTTCTGATGCTCTTTCTTAGTCCAGTGGGAACTAGAGTCAGGAACATACAAGCATTAATGCTTTGAGGAACCTGCCTCTGATGAAGTCGACTGTATGGAGTCTCAACGTTCAAAAGCTGCTGGGAGGTTGATACCATCAAATCTAGGTGCTTACGAGAGCTCCAATTCTTAGTGCTGACACCGAAAACCAAAGGCCCTTTAATAAAGCAGAACTTGATTCTGTCTTCCTTAGAAAGGGGAGCTGGAGGAAGCAATATTAAAACCATCCCTGGAAATGCAGCAGAAGCCCACTGGAAACACAGAGCTTGCCCATGGAGTCCTCAGCCAGAGCCAGCTGAACTGAAATGCACAAAAGGTACCTCAAGCTCATGCTTCTGCCTCTTTGAAAAGGGCTGTGGGAGCCGCCTTCTCTACCTTTCCCATCATCCTTATCTCTTTCTGGAAAAAAGGAGAGAGAATTCTTAACCTCATTGCCCTATTCTCTTCCTCTGCTATGAATACAACCCTTTAGAATCTGGCCTTGTGTCCACTGAGTGGTGGCTCGCCATTTTGTGAGAATGCTCTCTATTTAAACATGACATGAAATTTCTCTCAGTTTCTTTAGTCAACAAAAGCTCTGCCTCAACACAAAAGAGAAGAAAGAAAAAAAAAATCCTCCTTGCCCCCATTCCCTAGAACTGCGAAACCCCACATCCCATTCCCCCCTCCTCTAACTAAAATATTTATATACATACAACAAAAATTGTCTTAACAGCAACAAACCAAACTTTGGTTTGGGGAGGGGAACCCTTAAAAAATGGCCAATGGACCGGCAGTCTGGTGTCCCCTATTCTATGCACTGCTTCCCAGAATCAATAAGAATTGCATCGAGGCCTCTAGCTTCCTTGATGTCTCCCCTAGTTTCAAGGACAGCCTCTCTCCCAGTTATTAGACAAGAGACGATTCTGAAGGGGGAGAAGATATGTATTATTCATGACAGGCCAGTCCCTCCCAGATATATCACTCTGCTTACAAAGAAAGCTTGATGCTGTCATATGTCAGTCATTTTAATTCAGGGACATGAATCAGTCACCAGTCAAGAACAAGTGTGGAGGCAGGAGTAAAAAAAAACAAAGCAAAACCAAACCCACAACCAACCAGAAGCTCCATGTCTCTGAATTACTCCCTTTAGCAGCTATCCTTGGGTGAAAGGTCACCCAGTACCAATGTGAATAGACCAGGGAGCCAAACAGACCGTGCTTCTCTAAATGCCTTCATTTTGGAAATGCTGCAGGACCCTTGCCATTATCATTAACAGCTAATAGCTAGAAAAGAAACACTTTCTCCCCCATCGCGGTAATATAGAAAATTGAAGCCAGGGAGCAACAGCAGCGACTCACTGCTGTGGCCACCACACGACTCTTTCTGGCAATATATAAAATCCTTGCCATTTCAGACCCTCCTTCCAACACAGGAGGGGAGCAACCTCAGGGGCTCTGTATTTCATGTCCTGTAGTGTTCATGTATACCAAGTGGTCCGGGTGCTCAGCTGGGCATCTTTGGAGGAGAATGAGAAGCTGGGTAGAATGGCCACGAGGGCTCAAGGCTGTGGACAGAGAAGTGACTCATAAAGGCTCTGGAGGATGAAAATTCCTATGGCTTTGGAACTAGTACAAAGTGCCTTTGCCTGCCCTCACATGCCCTCATCACCAGAACTTCCAGGGACAGCTGGCCTAGGACTCCGGCACTTCATCTGTTGCCAACAGAGCCTTGAAGGTATGCTCTACACTGTGTACTGACTTTCGACGCAAGAGAAAGATCAAGAATACCAGAGTGCCCTGCCAGACATCACCTCATATCCCTTTCGCTTCCTCACCCTCTTTATCGCCTCTCAACAATTAGTACCTCTAATCCTCAAGCTGTGCCCAAACACCTGGGGAAATACGGCCACTGCCAATTTATTCTTCTGTCCCTGGGTCCTAAATTCCTGAATCTTGAGGACACAGGAGCAGAGTGTTAATAAAAGGATAGACGAGCTACGCCGTGGTTCAATTACAGGTGAAGAAGCCCAGCAGGAATGCTAGGATTACAGGTAAGAAAAGAATGATCTTTTTCATACTCCAGAGTTCATTCTGAGATTGGTTTCCTAATGAGGTGTTTATTATCCACAGTCTGAGAGCATGTTTGGAAATATTAACACTATAATTCCAAAAACTATGCCAATTGTCTCAGGCTGTGCATATTAAGATGATTGTAAAAAGAATGGAGAAGACAGGAGAGAAGAGAAGAGGAAAGTGTCTTTTTAATTCTCCTGCTTTGCAAGCACAAATTCCTATCATCTATCAGCATGTGGATTCCAGCCACAGCCAATCAGAATTGCCTGCCAAAGACCAGAAACTCAGAAGACTAGAAGAATATCCTGTGGCAGAAAGATCTCTTCCACTTCTGCTTGTCCCCCAGCCATTCAGCACCAGACACACTTTGGTAATTCTGTCTGCTGATTTCTGATCAGCTGTGTTTATCAGCTCCTAATGTCTCTTCTTCCTCATTAACTGCCTCTTCCGTGATTGATATAATAAGCTAAGCACGGACATACAGACATGGAAATGCATTATTTTTTTTTTTTTTTACCACAGTTAAAAAAAAAAGGAAAAAAAAAAGAAAAAATGCACAATCTTTGGAACAAAAGAATTAAAGGCAGAAATTTAAAGGAAAAATACATATTCAAAGAACATAGTGAGGTATAAAAAAGTATTCTCTTTTTTTGTGTTTTTTTTTTGTTTGTTTGTTTGTTTTTCCTCTTCATCTTGCTATAGAGTTCCTCTACTAGTAAATATTGCAATAGCCAGGCCTCATGAACTGGGGGGCTGTCCCATTTGCAGGGGTCTCACGTCACTTCAGTAGGGGGCAAATCGGCTGTAGCCACCTCGGTATAAACTCGCCTGCAGTAATTAAAGACACAAAAATCATAAAAAGGTTGATGAGTGAGAGAAGAATTAAAAATGACGAAAAATGTCCTGAGAAGGGATTTGGAAAAATAGCTTCCTTAGAAGCTTCAAAGCATCTGATTAGATGTTGTCTGGTGCAGTGAAGTCAGGAAGCCAACTTCTGTCTCTGAGATGCTCAAACCAGAGCACAAAACATTTACTGCCGATCTGACATCTCAAGGAGAGTATGATAATGGTTCATTTCATTATTTACAGGAATTAGCACAGAAGGTAAACAATACCGTAAATAGTTTGATTTTTAAAAGCACGGGTCTTTGTTTACCTTGATTACATCATCACAGTTGTGACCTAAGGCAGACTGCTGATTTTACCTTCTTACCACATGACCTGTCAATGGAGAACATGCTACCTCTGACCACTGTCTCTGTCGTATCTCACTTTTGAGATGGTGCTGGATTTAAACCTGAGTCAATCCTTCAACTGATAAAGCCTGTTTCCTCTGTAACGTAGAAAATACACCAGCTAGGCTGTTTCTTGACATATCCGAATTTATATATATAACTGGGGTTTTAACTGGGCTTTATTCCTTTGTTTTATCTTTATCTAATGGCTTATCTTTTCCAATTAAAAGTTCCCTAGGAACACATCTCTCCTCACATCATTCTTTTAGTATAGGACTTGGTCATTGGCACTAAATAAAACCTTAGCAACTCCCATCACTTTCTTTATACTGTATGTCTCTACCTCAATTCTAAGCATATGCTCCCCCAGGACCCTATTACTTCCTCCAACAAGTCTTCATCAGTAGAGATTTGGTGTGAGAAATGATGGGCTCTCTCCTATTCCTCTAAGTCTTAAGTCTGATCCATCATTCTGCCTCCCTCTCCAACACCCTCGTCTATGTTCCCAGGCTGCTGCCCAGTGCATGCTGGATTGCAAACAATGCCTGGCATTAGGAGGTGTCACTGTGGAACGGCCTGTCTTTGCTGCAGCCAGTGAGTCCCAATCACTGGACCTGGAGGCGTCTGGGCCAACACAAAAATACTGCAGTGAGGATTGGAGTTCGATTAGGGTGGATGACTCTAGATGAGCTCTAAGGACTTTCTCTATACTGCTAGGAAAATACCATATTTTCCCATAAATGTTACTAATAAAATATGTTTGTAAGGCATTCACTTGGCAATTTCTAGTACTATCTACCAGAAGGCTTAGGAAGAACAGGGACATCCTTTGGTATCTGCCTTTGAAACTTATACACATTAAGTTTTCTGAAAAGCTTACTGTGAAAACTAGAGAGTCTTATGCCCCCAAGTCTTGGTAACCCCTATCAGTAAAACTGTGACATAGGTATGCATCCAATTTTTGAGCCAATATAAAACATCAACCTCTTCCCTTCTTTCTCTCTCAAACAATGTTGTTACTCAGAGCAGACTGTCACTATTCATTCCTTTCTGCTGTCCTTAACCAGGCCACGTGGTTCACACCTGAACACACAGATAAAAAAGGTGATATGAAATTTCCAGATAGTCTCATGTGGTTTTAATATTTTGGCAACGGAAGAAGGGCTGAATTTATTCCCTAGATCTTTTGTAGTCTGCAGGTAAAAGTTAGAAGGAGTAAAATGTTTTAAAAAAATGGTCCATATACTCACCACAGCGCCAACTCCATAGCTAGCGGCAGGGGCAAGGGCATGGTAGGGGTCGGCTGTGTACACCCTGCCATAACTGGAAAGAAGAAATACAATCAGGGAGATAAAGTTTCGAAAGACAGTGATCCAAAAAAAGTAAAGGGTTTACTGTGCTAAGGACTTGTGAGTAACTTGGTCTTGGAATGTTGTTAGGAAACTGGCAGAATGGAAAAAACCTTTCCATTTCTAGTCCTAAAGGCAGTAACTCTGAAAGATTCTGAAGTACTTCTATAAAATAGAAAAGAAGTGAGTTGGAGATGAGGCAGCGGGAGATCGGGGCCAAAGCCAACAAAGAGAGACAACAACAAGAGAGAGGGAGCGGAGGAGTCAGTGCCACTGTGCTTTCAACGTGACGGAGGGCACGAGGAGCAGGCCTGTGAAAACCCAGGCTTCAGGCAGCCCCATGTACTAAGCGCCGCTGGAAACGGTGATGGGAGGAGAGGGGGTGACGTCGTGGGCCGGGGCCGTGCTCCCTCTCCCTTTGGGTACGTACCCGTCGCTGTAAGCGGCTGCAGCGGCTGCAGCAGCTGTGGCCGCGGTTGCAGTAGCAGGCTGTGCATATCTGTAGGCTGCATATCCACCCTACAGGAGAGAAGAGAACTGACTTTACAGATACCTCTCCCCCTGGATGGACAGATGAACACACCCACCCACACGCAGACAGACACAGGGACAGACACGAACACAGACACACACGTAGTAAGAGAATGTTTCAAACTGCATCGGTCTACATGTTATTCCTCTGGTCCAAAATTGAGCTCCGCCCAATGCAGGGATGTGCTTTCCAATTTATGATAGTAGCAAAAATAAACTATATTGGCAGTACCTGTTCTCAAATTTAAGAAATGGAGATATGATTTTGGATGTCTTACTGTATCACAGTCTTTGTTGGAACTTTCAACAGGGAAAATATTTACAGGAAGTTTGGAGAACTTTACCTGAGTGACAGGAAATATAAATTATAGAATTAAAACATTGAATTTTTATGTGTTAACTTCAGATTCTCTGATGTGTCCTCAGATTGATTTACTGCTAAGAGACTACAGTATATAACAGAAAGGTCCCACACAGTGCTCTCCTCCATCCGGCCCAGGACGTTTGCCCCGATTATTTGTCCTGAAATAATCAGGCCATATTCAGAAAGAAAAACCAGTGCAGACCAGAGGCTGGCAGACTTCAGTCTGTGAGTCAATGCCGCTCCCACCCCTTGTTGAAAGGAGTTGTGACAGCGCCCGTATGGCCCACAAAGCTGAAAATATTTACCACCTGGTCTTTTACAGAAAAAGTTTGCCAACTCCAATCTATATTTCAGACTCAGGCAAATCAGATCGCCAATGGCTGCGGATTCTTTGGCTGGATTCAAATAGATTAGGAAGCCCCCTTCCCCCAAGCACTTAACTGCATTCATTTTCCTTCCCTAAAACATTCCGAGATTCCCACCTCCTAACCTCACAGCAGCTCTGGAGCTTTTCTTCCAATGGTTCAAGTATCCTCAGTCCTAGAGTTTCAAACTCTCATATCCCGCTATTTCAGCTCAGTTAAGATGAACCAAATACTCAGAAGGTTTTCACTGTCAGGGTGAAGCATACGTACTCCTTCATCAAGGATTTCAGAGACTATCACAACAGATGCCACGTGAGACAGGCTATTTAAAACAGTGGCAAGCTCTACTTTTTCTTTATTCTAAAATTCATTTTACCTAAACCTAATTCAGGTGTGAAATTTTATTATTTTTTCTCCATCACATATAACTATGTTCAACTGGTCCATTTTGACACCATTTCAGTAGTGGAACAGCATGTTTTGTTTCTGTAGATTAGTGTGTCCATTTCTTACGGAATCTAAAGCTTTCCGCCCTGTGCTTTCTGCTTTCTAATCCTTCAAATGCTCAATTTTTGCTAAATCCACAAAAGAAATTTCAAATTTACTTCTGTATCATTTCTTAGGATTGAAAACAAGTATTTTCTAATGGGATCCTTGCTCTTCTTAGCCATCAGATAGGGCAGCTTCTAGCTTGTTGCTTTCATTTCTGTTCAAATCTTATTTTGAAAATAGCTGTAATCTCTTATAGGCTTCTAAAGCTTTTTGCTTCTTTCTTATATCATTTATGCTTTCTCTAACTAAAGAAACTGCATTGTGGAGGGAAACTGACTCTTGCTCTTTAAATTTATGCTCCTTGAAAGTCATCAGAAGTGGCTTCAAATGTACATTTAAAAAAATCCATGACTGGTTTTCAGCGGTTATGTATTATTCCTTCTTTGTTCTTCAAGTGAATGACTTAGAAAAGTAAACATTTCTTTCTCAATGACAAATTTCTCTACAGATATTCATATAAATAAGAAATTCTACTTAATATTACCAAACACTGGCAATGAAATGGTAATGGATAAGGACATGGCAGGAGGCATCTCAGGGGCTATTCGTGATCAACTTGTTTCCTCTGAATTCTAGCCAGGTCCGCAAGAATGTGCAGGCCAGGCTGATGTGGGCAAAGCTGTGTACCCAGGCTGCAACACAGACACTGCTCTCTGCGTACACATGCATGTACACATCATATATATATCAAGTGTCTCTTCACCTTATTTCTTTGTTTAAACTTCTAAAGAGTAAATGAAGCAGTAAAAGCATTTGTTAAACAAAACAAGCTAATCATTATAGTTGAAATTTTAAGCTTTACATGAACCTTAAAGACTCAATTTTTCATTAGGATCAGAGACAGTTCCATTAGTTAAGAATTAAAGTTTGCTAGCGTGACAGCTACAGCAGGGTTATCTTTAGTAAAACTTCTCTGTAAACAAGAATAATATGGTAAACAGGCATTAAGTGGTTTGTCTCTTCAGCATTCCTTCAGACACCAAAAATAATCTTTAAAAATTTAAAAAGTCAAGGTAATAAAAGCAGGTAAAGCCACTTTATGTTTACCTAAGCAAAACATTTAGAAACTGAAGTTCTGTACCGCAGGGCAGAGGTATACATTCTCATTAGGGATTCTGAGGCTCAAAAGTACTGACCAGACTCGCAGAAAGTCTCAGCAAGTCAGAGATATTGGGGACTGTAGCAAATCATGGCTTTAAGCTGTACTACACTAATTCTGGGAAAAAGAGGTTCTGAATGAGGTTACCATTTCCCCTCACTTTCCTCAGCCTGCAAGAAGCCATCAGGACCTCAGTGATTTTGGGGTAATGTTATTGCTAATCAAAAGAATTAAAAATGGATCAGACTGTAAGAAAGAAGCTTCCTTCCAAGCCAGAAGGAAACGGAGAGAATCTATCTGTGGTAGTTTTCTTCTGTTATAAGTCAACTCTGACTTTGGAGTTTGAATCTGATGAGGCTCTCTGCTATTTAAATTCAGGAAAATAGGACACAGATGCAAATATTTTTATTGACAACAAAAGGCTCAAGAAGAATATCAGCATTAAGAAAAACTATATTATTTTTTTTAAAGCAGATAATATTTCAACATGACTACTCTCCTAATGACTTGATGATAATGGTGCTACAGAGGGGCCCTTTAAAGGGGTCTATGTTTAGGATAGGCAGGTAATATCCTAATAAACTAATTTGCTAATTCATTAATGACTATCCCCCAAATTAGAAAAATTAAATTATATATCATGGATTTACTCCTCTTAGATGTATTCTTACTTCAAAGTATTACTCCTGCTGCTTTAAACCGGTTATTCAACAAAATATATCATATAATCTAAAACAAAGAAAATTCAGATATATTTATTTCTATTCCAGATTTTGGAGTGCACAAAAATTCCAGGCTGAGAAACTGTTTTCTCAATTTTCACTTCTACTAGCAAATCTGGAGTCTTTTATAGAAACATGAGAACAAAGTGCAGTTTGAAACACCAAAGTTTTCATTACTGTTTCTTAAGTTTTTCAGAAAGAACAAGGGTGGGGAAGGGGTAGGAGAGACAGGGCTCAGGCGTGGGAAGGGGAGATGGGGCCACATTTATTAATCACATTAAAAACTAAGCATGCCAACATCTGGAGCTAAAACAACCAGCAAAATCACCACGTTCAGACTCGTATTGGCTAACTCTATCTATCCCAGCATTCTCTTGGGACAGCGGTTCGCCCTAGGCTCTACCACAAGCTCGGTGAAGTACACAGCCTCAATTACTAGAGCGTGCAGCCACAACGACCTGGTATTACGGAAACAAGTCAGTCACCACTTGAGTTAACATTCCATATCCTAACGACTGGCCCCTCCCCAGCCCAAAGAAATAGTAAATCTTGCCCACCCTAGCCCTGGCCCACACCACAATGTTAATAATTATAACAAGCAGTAACCCATCTGTTATATCAGAGAAGGGAACAGAGACTCCACTGAGAGATTTAGAGTGAGATGTTAACATTTCTTCAGCTGACTGCACAAACAAACAAACAAAAAAAGAGGAGAAATAATTCATTTGGAGATATGAAGTCATGAAATAGCTGATGTGTATTGCTTTTAACCATGCACTGATGCAAAACTGAAGCAACCATTAATAATAAAAATTAAAAAGGACATATGTATTTACACACAATCAGACCTGTTTGATCTGAAGCAGTTTGCAGATTCTATCTGTGTGTGATTTGAAATAAAACAAAAAATGGGGATTAGCATGGCCACAGCACACCCTAATGTAGGAGGGCACACACGGACAGCTTTTTGGAACCCTGATAGCTGGATAAATTTGGCAGGCTAAGCCTGATCCACATATACACATGCCCCTTTAAAAATAATTACTTTCTTATTCCTTTTGTAATTCATTCTGAATGACTCCTCAAGTTCCCAACTGGGGCAGCCCAATGCTCCATCACTCCTGTATTCCATCTTCCTGACCCTGACAACACGATTCGGTCCTGACCCGTGGCCCTCACTTGTATGCTTGCCCTCTGTCAACACCCATACATTCTATCCAGCGTTCTTCTAAAAAGTTGCCTGAGTTTCAGCAATATATCTTTTCACATACCCATACGATATCCCTGCCTTCAACTTCCAGCTTTTTCAAATGAAAATGCTGTTACCTTTAAGATCTTTTTGTTGTTGCTACAGTCTCAGTTTTCCGTGGCTCAATGTCACCTCCTAGAGACTTTCTACTCCACTTTGAATCCATTTTATTATCTAATTAACTTTATAACATTGCCACACTGACCACATGATTTTTCTGCACAGTTCTGTAGCTGTGTTTTAACTAGAACAAAATCTAAGGGTTCTATGTCATCCCTCCTATATCTTATCTATACCTGAACATTTATTAGTTTAATCTCACACTGGCAGAATTCCTCCTTGTCTTGATTTTAACTTAGCCCTTAATTTTATTATATTTTTGTTTTAGGTTTACATTAAAACAGGACTTTGGTGAGCATGTGATGTCAAGACACCTTCTTTCTACCCGGAAGACAATGACATTATGTGACACTGAGGAGAAGAGTGTATTTCAAGACCAGCAGACAAAATGAAAGCTTGTTCCCTATGTGTGGTGTATAGATTTACAGAGCAAGGGGAGTGGGGACAGGGTGGGGGGGGTTGTGGGAGAAGGGCAGGTGCGATGTTTAAAATCATAGACCAGCGGAGAGATGTACTC